TTATTTAATATTTTGAAAATGAAAATCTCAAAATACCAAATAATTATAAAATTCAAACGCGAAGGTCGCTGACCGCCAGAATGCATTGATCGTCGGAGTATCACAGGAGGATGGGATTGTGCATCAATAATTAAATTACTGTCAGTCGAGTGTACAACCCCGACTGAAATGAGTTTTGGGACAAAAGCGACTTGTTATTTTGAAAAACGTTTTTAGTAGCCAATAATTATTGGACGCGTAATCGCACTTTGACAGCCGCATTTGGTTTTATTGTCCGAAACTCTTCTGTATTATTTCACTTTTTTGCGTAACGTATTACGTGTTTTTGTAAATTTATTAAGGGAAAATTTTTATATTTTATTATCCTTATGTTTTTTTTTTGATAATTATTTTAATGAAAAGGGAAAGCTGAATAAGGATAGATACCCTCGTTTGTGCTCCGCTGCGACTATACATGATCAATCCATTGGGCTCGTTCGTACGAATTTTGAAGGATATAGTCCCGGTCTTGGCAGCTTTCCAGGGTGGCAGAACCTGAAACAAATGAGACAGATGGTTTCTACTACGTCGCTTTGGGGCCTAAGGAGAAAAAAAAGCGGTGTGGAAGAGCGGAGTGGAAGAAGCCGCGTCGTCCTCGAGGAGAATGGACGAGCTAGCCTTGTCGTGCCCAGCATCCGCAATCTCTACGTGCAATCTTACGAATCCGCCATTCATCATAAAGCTCTTGAAAGAATCAGATCACTCGTTTAGGCATGGACGGGTGAAATCGCAACCGGTATAATAGTGGCTTGCAGTGACGACCGCGTTTATTTATATGCTTATTTAAAATATCGCAAGTCGATATCTTAAATTCATGATTTTTTTTTAAATAGCTGTCAATATGGATTCAATCAATGCAAATTATAAAATTTGGGTAATTATAATTAATATCTATTTAAAATTTTCTAATTTTTTTAAATTTCGACTGCAGTTCTATTTCTACTTTAAAACTGACAATGTGACGATAATCTTTTACTTATTTACATATGAAATTGCAAATACATATAACACAGCAGATTTTTATAAGTAAATTATTTAAGCGATTAGCCGCTAGAAACATAATTCATACGCATGCACGCACACTTACACACTTATATATTTTTACATACCTTTAGATTTCAATATAAAATAATATCCTTTTTATTTTTTCTATATAAAATATAAATTTTTTGTTTTTTTCAATATCTATTGCATTCAATTTTTTAAATAGAAATATTTGCCTGTTGCACTTTTACCAATAGCAATTCTTTTATCAACCGCATCTGGTGAGAATTTTTTTTCGAGAAACAAAATATTTCAAGCGGAAGTATCTTTTTTTACACGCAGTACTTGTTACAGCGACTGTTTAAAGAATCAACAATGCCCGAGCAACGTGCGTTTCTATCCGTAAACGAAATAAAGAATAAAAAAATGTGTCTTTGGCAGTCCCAAGTATGAAACTCATTTCGCGCGCTAACAATTTGCGAAATAATAGAACGTTGACAAACATGCGTGAAGAAAAATCCGAGAAAATCACAGAATTGCTGCCGTACAATGAAGCGAGCGATATACACCCACACATACACATACCCACACATAGAATGTCCCAACGAAATCGGAGGAAACAAGAAAAAAAAATATGTTGTATTCTATACGAGCAGCATCGCGCAAAGACCGGAAATAGTCGGTCAAAATAGAGAGTTGCACGTTCCTAGATTGCGCGCAGAGTGTATGTGTATTGCCGTTTCCACATATTCGTGAAAATGAACTCTGTATCCAAATTTAAATAAAAGCATCCCGTTGTTTTTATACTTTTTTTATCCTGCAATTATTTCTTATAGGTTTTACTTACGAACTCTTCTCATTTGCTTAAAATTAGATTACCTTTACATTTTTACTTCTAGTTGTATAATAATTTGTTAATGTTTTAAATATTTATAACTACTAGTATATAATGTTATTATCTCCGATAAAACATTTATTGTTACGATGCATTTCTTGCTATCTTATCTGGTAATCTTCAAAACATTTAAAAGATTTAGAGTTTCTTTTAGCGAATGTAAATTTAAGTAAATTAGATAAAAATACTGTTTTTCTTTTACAGCGTAAGATTTTTATTTTGTTGTTTTTTATAGCATTTTATTTAGTTTATTTATTTCATTAAGTAGTGTAAATTTCGGATTTGACCTCGTAGAATAGTGTGTCTGAACGCTTACGTGCTGTAAGTTTTATTCTTCCTTTATCGTTCATTACCAGCAGAAGGAAGATAAAATACAGCGCGTAAAACGTTCAAACCAAACGTAGCTAGAGAATAACATCTCGACAAATATAGAATGTCAAATAGAAAAATAAAGAGACGTGTAAATAATAAAATACACTAACCATAAATCTGCGTATCGTCGTTTCTCGCATAAAATCCTGTGCATCTCTTTTATTCGATTTTACGACAACAATCAATGCAGCTAGTAGAAAAGTGTACGACGTGCCACATTATCTGCTTTGACAGTCAAAAGTGATGCAGCCGTATTTAAAGTTACGCGACGTTATACGGTCAGGTGCGCTTTCTGAATAATGCAGAGCACGCCTAACCGCTATGAATCAGCATCAGACGAAATGGATCCTCCCGTTGTAGCTCATACTTCTTCTCTATCTTTTCAACTCCGTAAAGATTTAACATAAGCAACCGCAAGATGCTGCCGTAAGAATACGTCTGTTTTTCACATTTTTCATGTCAAGTATTTTTTTGCTTTATTTATAAAAAAAAAAAACAACTTTATATACATACAAACTAAAAGTTTGGAAGCACTTTTAAAAAATTGACATTTTTGGGATTACTTATTCAAGTATCTACAAAAATGTTTTTTTTAACAATAATTTTTTAAATCTAGTAACTTATTTGATCTAAAAAATTATTATTTAAAAAATACGTCGTTATGAATATTTAAATAAGTAATTTCAAAAATGTCAACTTTTTATCTAAAAAATTACTGTTAAAAAAGCATATTGTTATGAATATTTAAATAAGTAATTTCAAAAATGTCAATTTTTAAAAAGTGCTTCCAAATTTTAATCTTTTATGTTCTCCTATATCTTATTATTTTCGTGTAATTATAAGTGTAGATTTATTTTTACGAAACGTTGATTATTCAATTCCTGTTATTTAATTATATACTTCATATATAATTCATATAATAATATCTACATATATTTATCAAACTATAGAAAGATATTGATATAATGAATCTATACAAGATATAAAAATAAATTCGCATCTGAAAAAGAGAGGATACAATTATTTCTAAACTTATACCAAGAGAAGATCAAAGTTTAAAAAACAATGATGAAAAAATAACATACAAGAAGCTACTTCTCTTTTGAATTAAAGCTAAAATAACAAAGAATAAAGAGATATTATCTCTCTTATAAAAAATAATTAAAGGCATTTTGCCAAATATATGTAATCTGACAGAGTTATCAGAGAAACGGACTACATTCCTGATTTTCTTTTTTTAGCTTAAACACTGTACAGTAATTAAGCCACTCGTACAGGCCATCTATAGAATAAAGAACGACCAGCAATATTTTCCAACCGAAACAGAAATGGACAAAGGATTTCGTCCGTCGCCGTTAATCAACGTCTGATGAGATGGCTACAGTTCAACTCGATCCCACCATGTCGCTCTTTAAATACTCTTGTTCTACGTGTATTTAAATTCAGAGATAAACGACGTGTCTATTTCAAGGCACAAAGGATGACCTGAAATGAGGGCATATTAACATTTTCTTAATAAAAAAAAAAGAAAAAAAAAGAAAAATCAGGAAAATAGCCCGTTTCTTGGACGACTGTTTCAGATTGCGAATATATTACAATTCTTTTTTCTCACGATACTTGTATGCATTAAAAAGAATAGTTCTGTGTTTTTAATTTGAGAAAGAAATGTATTTAGTAACGGATAAGCTGTATGTCATATCCTATGTAAAAGCCACGCTTTGAGGAAAGGGAGAGGGAATTTGCGACATAGTAGGAAGAATAAATAATAAGCTTCGTTACCGAGAGTTTTTGGTTTTCCATCCAGGAAATTAGCTCCATTGTCATGAAACTCCAATTACACTCGTGCACTTCTAGTGTCTGCACAAAATCCGCATATTCCCGGAACGCTCGATTTCGTACCAACGGAGAAGAATTTCAAATAGAATAAATAAGCATATTTTTTTAAGTAAAAATACACAAAATAACAAATAAATGATCAAAAAGCGACTCAAACGATATTAAAATGATCACCGCGATTTTCTCAACTCCGATCTAAAATCTGTTACTAAAATACTTGGAACATTACATGCATCAGTATAGAGATTCCAAAGGGTCTGAAATACCAAAAGTCCGCGAGATTGATACTGCCCGCAGAAGCATCCACACGCAAACGGAAAAACTTTTTCCAATTTCACCTTTGGGAACGAACCCCTAACTCGCCACGAGACTGGAGACGGTTATCTTGAACCTAGAAACTTCTTTTGCGGAACGAAGAAGAAAACGGGTTCTATGCATGATTTTCCTCTACATGTGTAGGAATTCTACGCGAGAACAATAAACGACCGTTTTAGTTTTAGACACTACGCGCGTCTTTATAAAGTTAATATTAGTATAACCAATCTTAATATTCCAATTATTATTAAATATCAAAGATTGTACATTGATCTGATGTCCTTTTCTTTATTTTTATATGTAAAATTATCTCGTTTCTTGGATCAGCAATGAACATCGTCAATGCATGTATAAACACGAAGTCTCATTCACTTTAATACTCCTGTATCAATATTCGATGTGCCGCATAACAACTGCAGTAATAACATTTGAATAACAATGAATATTTCGGGGTCGTCAACGTCTTGCGCAAATACTAAGAATCAAGCAGAGGATCGTAATTATTAATCGCAGTTGTTGAAGAAGTAGAAAATCACAAAATTTCACACAGTGGACAATTGGTGATAAAAAGATCTATGACGGCAACGAAATATAACTGCTATAAATCTCTTTTAAGTTTCATGGCAATCTTCCTAAATTTTTTCTCTTGAAGAATCGAAGAGATCGATCTCGGGTGACTCGTTCTCGGGTACCATATCTTCGGGATTCTTCTTTGGGTACTTCTTATGTTCTTCCGCCGCAGCGAATATCTCTCCGAACAACAATTCCGAAGAACGCGGCGGAGTGCGGTACTTTTCCGGTATATCTCTTTTGTTCATTCTAGGACTTTTTTTATTCTCACTTTCAACAAGTTTCCGGAAGACACGCGTTACTGTCGAGAGTGACTTTCAACGGTGATCCGCCTTACTAAACTAACTGCCGACCTGATAAGCGATCACCTTATGATCGATGGCATCATTTTATTAACTACTAAATTTGAACGTTACAATAATATTACGTGTAAAACATATAATTTGTGCAATTTGCATAATTGTATAAATTATCGATTGTCCGATTATTATCAGCCGATATATAAATTAACAATCAACAGCAT